CAGTCAATCTGCACCGGTCAGCGTTCCGGCACCCGAGAGAGCGCCCAGAGCGAGCGCTGGCCCATCCAGCTCTCGGGTCCCCAGGCGCCTCCCCTCGCCCCGCCTCGTAGGCGTGACAGTTGCCAGAGTCTCAATGGGGGTTGGAACTTCCAGAACCAAGCTGGAATGGCTACCCACTACAAGAAGGAGAGGAGGATGCAAGGGGCCAGCCACAGAGTGAGAGTGAAAGTAAGATATAGAGAAGCAAGAAAAGGAAAAGATCGAAAGTAAAAGGTAGATGGGATAATTTAAAGTTAAGAAAAATTGGCAAGAAACAAGCTAAGCTAACGTCAGACATTTATAATTAAGAATAAGCCTCCATGAGTGATTTATTTGGGAGCTGGGTGGCAGGTCCCAAAAGAGTAAAGAGTAAAAAAACAACAAACAACAACAGGTCATAGTTAGTAATGATGGGACCATAGTAAGACCTAAACCCAATAAGGTAATCACAAAATTCTGCAGTTCCACATCTGCCATTTGGGGCTCATGATGGAATCATCTGGGCCTTGTGTGGGGTGGCGGGTACCTCTGCCCACTCAGCTCCACAGCCTAAAGCGCACATGACCTCTGACTTGGACCACCTTCACTTACTTTTTAGTTGAAAAGCCAACAGCATCTGCTTCACTTATACTTCAGGAAAAGGAAAGTTAATTAACAGAAAATCTGAAAACTGCAAAATTTGACTTTGATGTCTACAGCCTGGTGATTTTTGTTTATTGTGAAGGATCTTATTCAGAATCCTTCACTTCCCACATTACAGTCGTCTCCTGGGATCCACACTGGATTGGCTTGGAGGTCTCACTACCCTCAGATAAAAAATCAGTATGCTAACTAACCTTGGCTGTCTACTAGACACACCTGGGAGGAGGTGAGACTCTGTCTCAAAAGACCAAAACCAACCATCCAAACCCTGCTAGTTTTGTATCTTGTGTGTGAATTCTGGAGATGTGCTCAAGATTTACCTTCCAGCTTGTAAAGTCCTAGAATTAAGAATTAAGACTCCCACTTGCTACATGATGATGACGACAGATGTCCATGGAGGAAATTTAATGAGTTGGGCCTCAAATGTCTACATTTGAAATAGGCAAGTTCCATATAATAAATATCCTCAGGAATTTGTTAAGTTATCCAGTAAGCCAGCCTCGTTTTCGTACCACATATCATATGCTTAATTCTGATCCACAAGTATCTCAGCAAATCACAGAAAATAAAAGATGGAAATTTATGTGTTTCAAAAACAAGTCATTGCTCTTAATACCACAAAGGAATCAATATGTCCCTAAATCACATACTTGGGAGAGTTGGATGTTAATTTTAAAAATGTAGACCGTTAGGCAGCACATAACCTCGTTTCAGTAGGAATTCATTTTGCTCAAATATCTAATCTTTGAAGTTTAACTGAAAATTTAGCTTTTTTTTAATACATAAGCAACAAAATTATATGACTCAATGAGATACATGCACAAAGGAAATGCTTCCCTTACTTTTTATAAGACAACAATTCAGCCTAATCAAGTTGACATTACAAAGCCACCAATGTCGTCAAAACTATTTTAGGCTCTACAGGCTGAGTGAGCAGTGTCCAAGTGGCTAGGGACATCCCTAAGAGGTCCTTTCTGGGACCTGACCCGTTTAAATTCGGTCACAATTTAGGTCTAGAAAGAACCCAAGTGCCCAGTAGGTAAGGATGAGAACCCTGCTCTCAGTTGAGTAGAAGCTGATAGAGATCTTGAAGATCTTTCCAATGAGAATTCCCAAAAAAACACTGGTCCACAGAAAAGCAACAAAGACTGTTGTCGGAACTAGTTGTAATCACTAGACTAGGTAGAAACAGTTGGGATGTATGCAATTGCTCGGAAGTTGGCCGTTGCCTCTACTTGGGTTAAATATTAAAGGGCTTTGTGGAGGAAGTGGCATTTGAGGGAATTACAGATTTTGGTTAAGTCTGTATCAAAGGTCTTCACAGGAGGCTCGATCATGTGTTATAGTCGTGTGTGTGTGTGTCCTCTCGTCTTCTGGTTTGGACAGTCTTTGAGCAGCTTCTAGAGCCATGCAACCAATATTACACCCATGTCATGAAAGTATGACCGTAGACATGGACAGCGTGTGAATGAGTGAGTGCATGGTGGTGAACTCCCGGGGCGAAGGCGAAGAGAGGCAGTCCCGGGGGATCTGAGGCCACCCCCGGGAGGCAGTGCCGGTTCCGAGCGGCAGGGGGCGCCGTCGTGCGGCCGCGCCGGGCTCA